ACTCGCCAAATGCAGGCCCCAGAAGCCAGAAAGGCCACAGAGCCTAAGCTTTCCTCATTTGTGAAGCCGTCTACGACCCCCATACCACCTTCCGTCTGACCTTTACTTGCACACTCCCGGGGACGGGCAGTCCACTGCCTCAGCAGGTGGCTCCTCCCTGTGCGAGTGCTGCTGACGGTTAGAACGCAGTCCTGCGCGTGCAGCCAAACTCCATCCGCCTCCTCTCATCCCGCTGCTGCCTTCTGAGCTCTCTTCAAGGCCCCCACGTGAGCTGGGAACTCGCGCAGACTCTGAAGCAAACTGCGCATGTTCAAATCCTGGTCTGCACCTGACCAGCACTACGATTCAGGGGAAATGTCTTAATACCTCTGCTCTTCATGTTCCTCATCTGTACAATGAAAGGTGCAATAACAGTACGTGTTCCCTAGGCTCATAGTAAGGGGAAAGTGAGTCAGCGTATGTAATGTGCTTGTGACATTGCCTGGCATACAGTAACCACTAAATAACAAGTATTTGAAAAATAAGAAAGAGACCAGAGTTTTAGTCCTACCCTCGTCCTGCGGCCTCTTCTCTCACCCGTGACATGTGTGAGGCATTCTGGTTTCAGAGTCCCTGAGGGAACGGAGCCCAAGGATGAAGTTTGTTAAGATGTAGGCACGTTTCTGTCTTACTCCTTCATGTAAAAATACTGGGTTTGGTCCAAGATTCACATGCCAGAAAAACTAGCCACCTTTGAACCCGGTATCCTCTCTCACACACCCAGACACACCTGCATGTGTCTCGGGGACAGTGGATACTAGTCTGAGAATGGCGGCCTACGGGGTCCTCTGAAGTCTTTCCAGGCTCAGGCCTAGGTCAAGTCTTGGCTCTGTTGTTAAGCAAAATGAGCACAGCCCAGCTTCCCTCTATGCATGGGCTCAGTTTACTCATCTCTAAGATGGAGGTGCTAGTTTCCACCTGCTCGGCCCACCTCCCCAGGATGCAGGGAGGTTGAATGGGGGCAGTTTGCATTGCGGGGCTTGGTACTCTGGCCTGAGCCACGTGAAGTGTCAGCTTTGCAGAAGCAGCCCTGGCAGCACCTCCAGTCAGGGAAGGCCTACGCTTTCTGTGACTAGCCCATGCTGAGTTCTAGCAGAGCAAGTGACCTCAAGGAGAGGCCAGGCTTCCCGCTCAGTAGGGTGCGTGGGGGACCTGCCAGTTCCTTCTTGGGGCCTCCGATGGTCCCTGTACCATATGCCAGGCCAAGCCTCAGAGCGTAGGGCTGGTCTGAGTCCTCCGAGGACAGGCCACCACCCTTCTTCCTGCACTTTCAGGAGCCTTGCCAGAGGGGCTGGTGGAATTTCGCCACTGTCCTTCTGCCTGCCCTAGTCAGTGTCCCCAGGCCCATCTGAACCCAGACAAGCTCTGGTGAATCAGAACAACCTGGGAGGAATTCTCTGTCAAGATCTCAACTGCGGTTCCATGCTTGTCCTTCCAGATGCTGGGCTGATGCATCTTCTCAACCCTCCTGTGCACTGAGCTTGTTCCTATTTCCTCCACTCATTTCAATTCCTTGACCTACACCCAGAGGTACTGGTTACTGTGCGCTATCCGAGGGCTCACAGTCCAGGGTAGCACCTCCAAAAGGACTTTCTGTGATGATGGGAATGGTCTACATCTGCACGGACCACCACGGTAGCCAGTGGCTATTGCACTCTTGATATGTGGCAAGTGCAACTGAGGAACTGAACTTCAAATTTTATTTAATTTTAATTATTTAAATTTAAAGTTTAAAAAACAGTCCAATTAAATAATGGGCAGAATATCTGAATAGACATTTTTCCAAAGAAGACATACAGATGGTTAACAGGTACATGAAAATTGCTCAACATTACTAATCATAAGGGAAATGTAAATCAAAACTCCAATGAGATACCACCTCACACCCTTAGGACGGCTATCATCAAAAAGACAAGAAATAACATGCATTAGTAAGGATACGAGAAAAGGGGAATCCTGTGCATTGCTGGTAGGAATGTAAATTGATGCAGCCACTAGGGAAGGTGCTCTGGAGTTTCCTCACTATACATATATACATATGTATATATATAACTATCATATGACCCAGCAATCACACTTGGAGTATTTATCTAAAGAAAATAAAAGCACTTTTATTTGAAAAGATAGAGTGTGCACCCTCCTGTTCACTGCAGCATTATTTACAATAGCCAGCACTTGGAAGCAACCGAAGTAAGTATCCACCAATGGATGAACGGATAAAAAAGATATGGTGTATGTATGTATATATATACACGCATAATGGAATATTATTCAACCATAAGAAAAAAATGAAATCTTGCCATGTGCAACCACATGGATGGACCTTGAGGGCTTTATGCTAAGTGAAGCAGGGTAGACAGAGAAAGACAAATACCATAGGATCTCACTTATACGTGGCCTCTAAAAACAACGCCAAAACCAACCAAGCTCATAGAGTCAGAGAACAGATTGGTAGTTGCCAGGGGCGGGGGTCGTTGTAGGTGAAATGGGTGAAGGGGATCAAAAAGTAAAATCTTCTGGCTTAAACTAAAAAGCCATGAGATATAAGGTACAGCACGGCTGTATATGGCATATTCGGAAGTTGCTAAGAGTAAATCTTAAGAGTCCTTATCGCAAGGAAAAAATTTTTTGTAGCTGTATGATGACGGATGTTACCTAGACTTACTGTGGTAACCATTTCACAATGCATACAAATATCAAATCATTATGTTGTACATTTAAAGCTCATATACCTTATGTCAATTACATCTCAACTTCAAGAGCCGCGTATAGCTAATGGCTACCGTAGTGAACAACCCGGCTTCATCAGAGAGACAGATATGCAGGCAGGTGACCAAATAAGACAGGTGGACCAGGCCAGGGGGAGAGATGGACGGACAGTGTGTCACCTGAGTGTGGAGTGGGGAAAGAGCTTTTCCAGGGATAAGGCTCAGGAAAGGCCTCCTTGGAAAGGGGCATTTGCGATGGGCATGAAAGCCCTAGGGCTACCTCAGCCGGTGGGCCTAAGAGGGCAGCGGCGTCCCATCAGGAGGGAGGAAGGCGCATGTTTAGGAGCAGGCCTCTGCCGCACCAGGTACCATGCGCCAGGCCCCTGGGCCGAGCAGGCTGAGCGAGGGCTGAGCGAGGAAAGGAAGGCAAACACTAAACACTGTGCAGGGTCTTGGGCGCCAGACTGAGGAGGAAGTGAGTCTTATCCTGGTGGGTTATTAAAGGGAATGAACTGAGATCCTCCGAATTGAGCAAAAGGCTTTGGAAACATAGTAAGCTCTCAATAAATAGCAAAAGTTACCAGCAGAGGGGCAACATTGGAGGGGGATTATGTGTTTCTGTTTGCTGCGTCTTTAGATCAGTTTGGGCATACTGCCATTTTAGCAACATTAAACCTTCTGATCCATGAGTATGAAATGTTTGTACATTTATTTAGGTCTTGTTTAATGTTTTATGCTATTTGGAATTTTCAGTATATAAGCCTTTACTTCTTGTATTAAATCTATTCCTAAGTATTTTTTATATTATTATAAATGGAATTATTTTCAAAATTTCATTTATGGAGTGTTTATCACTAGTGTCCAGAAATACAGCTGACTTTTCGATGTTGATCTTTTATACCCTGCAGTCTTGCTGAACTTGTTTATTGGCTCTAGTCATTTTTTTCGGATTCCTTGAGATTTTCTATTTACAATATTGTGTCATCTGCAAATACAAATCATTTTGCTTCCTTCTTTCCAAAATGGGTGACTTTTTTTTCTTTTTCTTGCTTCATTGCCCTGGTTAGGACCTGCCAGACAATGTTAGTGAAAGTAAACACTGTTTTCTTGCTCCTGTTCCCAGGGGGAAGTCTTTACCCATTAAGACTGATGTTGCTTTCTCTGTCTTTTCAAAACTCTAAGATTATGTTTTTTTATCTTATTATACAGGGATGAGCAAAAGTAGGTTTACAGTTTTGAGTACACAAAACAGTTTATTCTTGTGTTATTATTTATTCATTATTGTGTTATTTATTCGTATTACAACTAACTCTAAACCTACTGTCGCCCACCCTGTACGTGGTAACAGAAAACTCAGTGCAGTAAGGGATCAAGAAGAAAACAAAACTCCCCAAATCCCACACACTGATAAACATCCAGGCCTTGTCAATGTATATACATGTGTATGAAAAATAAAGATACCTCTACTTTCATATGGCATTTATCTCTACTTAGTGTTGGTTCATGGTCACCTCCCCAGGCCAGTGACCCAGGTTCTGCTGCAAAGCTGAACTGTCGTTTATTTGAGCCACTCCAGCTTGGTGGATGCTAAGTTGTTTCCCTTTTTTCCCACTATTATAAACAAGACCTATGCACAATCTCATATCTTTCCTGACCCTGTGTTTTGCCAGGTTTTTCCTTTCTTTTCTTTTAATCTTTGTCAGATCACTATAGATTTTGGAGTAGGGACATAACAGACCGTAGGAAGCTGACTCTGGCGTTCTCAGTGCCCTGTGTGACCTTGGGCAAACCCTCTTCCTTCTCTAGGCCTCACTTTCTTCATTTGTAAATTGAAGATGAGTCTGAGCGACTGATTATCAAACCTGGCTGTACAGTGAAATCACCTGGGGATTGTAAAACCACAGACACCTGAGCCTCACTCCCAGCAACTCCGATTAGCATAAGGAATAGCCCAGGGAGCAGGAATTTTAATTTTTCTGGGGACTAGACAACATTAAGTTCTTCCCTGCTCAGACCTCCTAGGACGGCTGCTTGGTGCCCAGCGGCCCTGGGTTTGAACCCCAACTCATTTCCTCCTGGCTGTGTGTGACCTTTTGCCCTCTCCAGACATTCATTTCCTGCTCTTGGAGGGGGAGGGGTTAAAGCCGCCCCCCCGCCCGCCCCCGTCGCCCCCGCAAGGTTTCTCTTGGGTAGAAAAGGTTTATGTCCTGCACAAACGGAATGAGTGGTGATGATTGTTCTTTTTGACCAAAGAGCCAGCCCCTGGGCAACAAGGTGGAGATGGAGATCGTGAGCATGCTGGAGAAGAACACAACGCTTCTGAAGTTCGGCTACCACTTTACCCAGCAGGGCCCGCGGCTGCGGGCGTCCAACGCCATGATGAACAACAACGACCTTGGTGAGTGAAAATATGCTCCCTGCCCACCTGCCTGTTACCTTTCCACCTGTCCTGGGCAGGATGGCAGGGAAATTTTCACTGATCCCTTCTCCAGGGAGTCCTCTTGGTGAACCCAACCCCTGACTTTCACGTGGGTTATGTTTGTTCTCTGTGTTGGGGCCTTGTCTCCTCCCTGGGCTGTGAGCACCCTGTCTCGGGAAGCCAAGCCTGGGCCCTCTTCTCACTTCCACCGCAAAGCTCAGCTCAGCTCAGCGCAGCCCAGGGCTGGGCCCGAGGGCCAGCACCCTCAGCATGTCAGCTGAGTGAAAGGAAACCAGGCATAACACAAAGCTCACCAGGAATCTCGTCTTCCGAACACCCTCCCCCGAACACAAGAATTCTGCCCAGGACACAGTCCGGCTCTAGCCCCAGATCCCAGAGTCCCCAACCAGCACCATTACCCAAAGCCCAAGCCTAGGAGACTTCTCCTTGCTTTTAAGGTAAAAGTTGACAATGTTGACTCCATAGTAAACAGGTTAGACTCATTGAATCTCAGTTAAAGGCATAATGTGTCTTCTCTAAAAAAGAAAATGAAAGAAAAGGTCATTTTTTCTTGTGAACGTGCACCCAGTCGGTATTTAAGTCAGTGGAGTGAAAAGGGAGAGCAGTCACCGACTTTTCCAGATGTCGGTGGTTTTCGCACTCTGTGTGTGGTTAGTTACCATGTGTGTTCCTGCTGGCTGCTGGAAGAACTCGACATAGTGTCCACAAAGGGGTGGTTCTGATAAGGCTACCGGAAAATGAGAGGAAAAAAACCCCCCAACACCAAGTAAGTCTAATATGTTAACATAATTGATTATTGTACTTAGTTGTGAGTTTGCTAGAGCCAAGGCAGGAAGAAGACAAACCAAGGTACATTATTCTTATGGCAGATGAGAAGGAAGCATGATGAGGGAGGGCGGAAACAAGCTACTTTCTGGGACTGAATTATGAAATAACTTAGTTTTCTAAAGGATACTGTCTTTAGTAAGTTTTTCATCAAATTCAAACCTGCTTTACACAGGGCTTTTGTTGTCGTTTGTTTCATTTCTAACACTCTGTAAACTACAAAGAGCCTAAGCACATGGTGAAGGATCCAGGCAAGGTCAGTGCCTGCAAGGAGGGCCCGGGGGGCGGGAGGTGAGAGCATAGGTGTGTGGGCGTGAGGCAAGTTCTCGCCGAACTGCCACCTAGGTAACCTCAGAGCCATACACGCTTCAGACTGAGTTAGTCAATTGAACGAACATTTGTCCTGTAGGGCACTGGGTGTTGAAGATACAGGTTCTTGCTCTTGAAGATGTCACAGCCTAGAGGCTATCAAGTCATTACTCACTCTGGCTCCTACTTTTTTCTAGAGCTGCGGCAAAGTCCATAAAACAAGCAAATAAAAAAATGCACCCAGTGTCCTGGTTTATCTGGAGTGTCCAGATTTGGAATAAAGTAAGAACTAACGCTAATAACTGAGACTCATGATTATTAGGCCACAGCAGAGGTGATGGCTACCCTGCGCTGGTGAGGTTGGCCCTCAGTCCAAACTCTGGGGGCCCAGCTCTGACCTGGCTTCAGAACAAGCACTTTAGAGCCTTCAGTTCTGTTTTGCTAGACAGTAGCTTCATATTCCCCTCCACCCCCCAGCTTAGACGGAGCTTCCTGTGTGCCCCTGGGTGCCTTTCTCAGGGCTAATTCAGCTGCCGTCTTCCAGCAGCAAGATAGCGTAGAGTTCTTTTTTTTTGGGGGGGGGGAGAAGGTTCTAGATGACTAGAGATCTGGGGTGCTGAGAGAGGAAGGGAGGAGACACCAAAATCAGCTGGAGATTTAAAGAGACGGCCCTGGAGGACTCTCCCTCTCCAAGAGCCTGTGATTCTAAAACCCAGGCCCAACTCCTGTGCCCAGGCATGTCCTGAGGTTCTGGCAGGACCTGAGCTGGACGGGACCTCAGGCCCCTCCCTCCAGGTCCTGCTCGGAGAACCTGAAGCCCTGGAGGGATTGCCCTTCTGGGCTGTGGCTCAGTCGAGTCACACCAGTGGTTAGTTGCAGCGAGGCCTTTGGAACATCTTGCATGTGCTCAGGAGTATGCTCAGTGACACGAAGGGTAACAGAAAGGCTAGTTCCCTGATGCAAGACCCTTTAGGGGAGGAAAAAAAACACACCAAGATGTGCCTGAAATTTCAAGAATGTCTGGAAACTGTATCCAAATAAAGTGAGGAGATTATTTTTAAGGACAAAGTCCAGTTAATAGAAGCATCCTGGTTGGTGTGGGCCTTCAGGTAGTTTTGAAAGGAGAGCTAAGTTGTGGGGAGGTCCGGAGGCATCCTGATAGGGGACCAGCAGAGGCAAAGGCAGAGCGCCAGGACCCAGGGTGCAGGGCAGGAGAGGCAGACAGATCGAAGAGGACCGAGGCACGACTATTGGGAGTTAGACCTAGACCGGAAAATAGGAACTCACAGGGAAGGGAGGAAGGGCATTTTCACGTAGAGGGAATAGCATTTTAAGCAGAGGGAACAGCATGGGCAAAGGCAGGTGATTGACAGGTTTGTTTACAAGGTGTTCAAAAGGAATGGGACTCAGTAGATGTGAGAAGGCTGTCAGCCAAAGGTCTGTAATGCCAGCCTGAGGAGTTTGGTGATGAAAGGAGGTAGGAAGGGGGATGGTGGCAGTTTCCAGGGCAGGAGTGACAGGTGATAAAAGTGGAGCTCAGGGTTACCCCAAGGGAACTGTGCAGAAGGAATTAGAGCAGAATCAGTTCAGTGATTACACACAACATTCAGCGCTCATTGGTGCTGTAGGATTTCTAGCTTTAAAAGCAAATTGGTGGTCATCCGCTAATTTTCATAAAAGAAATTCTTCTGATTCTGATAGTGCATCAGCTTCCCTCTGTAAAAGGGAAATACTTTCTTTCCAACACAGTAGTTTCATCTCGCTCTTGATGTTCTAGCGAAGCAGACAGGCTTCCGTGCTTTCCAGCTGAATGCATTCATCACAAGGTCCTCCTGCGGGTGCTGCGCAGCGGCTGTGGTTGCCAGCAGTGTCTGAGCCTCTCTGGTTTCCCTCGCGCTTGCCCTGCCTCTGTGCTAACTCCCGGCCCTTGGCTGGGCCTCTGTGGGCCCTGGGCTGTGCCTGCCGGTGAGGCAGGTGGGCTTGTCCTTGGGGGACGTTCAGTCCCCAAGGCCACAGGTCACCCAGTGCCTCTGCAGACAGGCAGCCTGCTCAGGACCCGTTCTGACTGGTGTGTCTTTGATCCTTCTCACCCTGTGTGCGAGCTCTCACCAGAGTGATCTGTGGGAGAGAGCAGGGCACCCGGGCGTGGTGATGTCTGGGAAGAGACGTGGGTCCCCATCTATGTTTTCCCATGGTGATCTCAGATGACTCCTATCTGCACACTATTCATAGCTCAGACCTAGGCTAAGCCTGGCTCTCAGGTCCTGTGAATCTGCCACTGAAGTTCTCCCCACTTAAATGAAATCTGAACTGCAGCCTCCAAGTTAAGATAGTTGTATATGTGTGTGGCGGGGCTGGGGGCGCGGGGGGGGGGGGTGGGAGCGGCGAGGTGTGGAGGGGGAAGGAAGGGCAAAATAACATGGTTTAAAGCAGAAAACATCCCTTCCTGGGAAAGTCACTTTTTTTGCTGTGTTCTCAAGGAAGAACTTTCTAACAAGCACCCCAGGCACAGCATACCCCAAGTCAATTTCATCCTTTCCCAAAAGCACCTCAGGAAAGGGCTCTATTCTCACAGCCATTCAGACCAGAAATCTGGGCCTGTCTCTCTGCCCCCACCCCAACCAGCCAGCCACCTCCTCACCCTGCCCCATGTCCAACCCTTATCATGTCCGCCTGGCACCCTGCATTCTCCACGGGTCCTGCAGCTGCCCGGGGCTGGGCCTCTGGCTCAGCGCCCCTCCGAAGCTTGCCCTGTCCCTCTGCCAGGCTCCCCTCATCTGGGCTCCTGCGGCTCTCAAGCTAAACTCCCTGACGTGGCTCCCGTGTCCCTTTACAATCGTAGCTGGAACTTACATGGTGCTCACTGCGTGCCAGGCACTGCTGTGAACACTTTCTATCTTACTAACTCCTGCGATGCTGCCAGCAGCCAGTGAGGTAGGTGCTATTATTATCCCCATTCTATGCTAAGGAAACGAGGCTTAGAGACGTAGATAAGGTTACCCGCAGTCACTGGGCAGAAGTGGGCTTTGAACTGACAGTCCAGCCCCAGAGCCTACACCCTCCACCTCCTCGCTGTGGGAGGCCCTGCCAGGCTCATCTCTTGACACCTCTGATGAGCCGTCCTCTTGCCGTCTTCATACCAGCCGGTCCAGGTAGCTAGAGTGGCTGCGAGAGACCCAGACAAAAGCACCCCTGTAGAGCGCCATGACTCCTAGTGCTGCTGGTCCCTTTTCACCACCTACTCCTTTATCGCGCGCATGTCAGCAGAATGTTACCTGCCCATCCTCAGAAGATCCGACCACTTCGTTCATTATGCCTCATACTTAACAGAGATCTGCCAGGGTACCTGTAGTATTTCATCAAACTTGTTGTTGATATACCTTGGTCTCCTGGTAAGCAGTATCTTTATTTCTGATTCTTGTGCTTGGTACGTAATAGCACTCAGTAAATGCTGTTGCACATCTAAAGGAATGTAAGATGCATCCCAAAGACATGACGGAGGTGCTCGAGCTTGGCGGGAAGTGGTGGAGAGAGCACAGGCCACCACGGAGGTCGGTCCAGGTGACTCGATTCCTTTGGGCTCTGACAATAAACGAGTCTCTGGCTTGTTGCCGTGATGAGCAACATGGAGGAGTTTGCTTTAGTGGAAGTAAAAAGCCGATTGAGTTGAAGGGGGGGCATATTGGGAGTCCTGGACTCTACTCCCAGTTCTGTCACTTATTCACTGTGACTTGGGGCAAGTTATTTCCCTCTCTTGGCCTCAATTCTCTTCATCATTAAAATGGGAGAAAGTAATACCTGAGTTAAGTGGGCATCTTTCCCTTCCCCTCATCCAGTCCCCGTGACATCCGTGCAGGGGACTTGGCACAGATCCAGCCCCGTGTACGCAGGCAGGGTGTGCAGCAGAGGAAGAAGCATGGGATCCCTTTCTGTACTCTGAGCTGCGGGCTGGGGACCCAGGTCCCAGTCCCGACTCTGCTCTTCTCAGGGGAAAGTTGCTAATCCTCCCTGTGAGAACCAGAGGAGATGTGGTGCAAAACCTACAGGGAGGGGCCCGAGTTGTACTGAGGGAGGCGCCTTAGGTACAAGCCTTGGTTCTCTCTGCTACCAGCTGTATGGCTTTGAACAAGAAATGCGCTCTCTCTCTGCCCTTCTTTCCTATCCATAACATGGGAATGATAACAACTTGGACATCCCAGAATTGCAGGAGGGGCTGCAATGAGGTGTTGAGTGTGAAAGAGGCGTAACGCGGGCCGCCCTGCTGGGCGCGCCTGCACGGCTGACTGGACATGCCTAAAAGTCTGGTTCATGTAAACCCTCCAGTCGCCTTGACAGAAACTTGCTCTTTGGGTTTTTGTTTCTCTGCATCTACCCCCAAGCTGTTGGACATTCTGAAAGTTCCAGGAGTCTGGTCACACTGTTTTCTCACCAGGAGATTGCCCATTGATTTGCATTTATCATTCTTCGGATGGGGGTTTCGGGGTGTGCAGGAGCTCAGGCGCCATACTGGGTGACTTGTGGTCCCCCACGCCCCTCCTCCCAGCTCCCAGCCACAACCTGAGCACCACACCCCCTTCCCCGGTGGTTCTGCTTTATGTGCTGTTTGCACAAGCTGACTGGGTTCTGTTGCAGCTCGCATGCATGGGTCTGGTGGCCGCAGGTCTACCGGCTCAGCTTGGGAACTGGAAGACATCTATAAGTATAGACAGACTTTTGCCCCCCGTTTCCTGTCCCTGCCACACCAGCCGCCCCTTGACTGCCACCTCCCAGCTCTACAGACTTCCTTCTCTTGTGGCTGATCTAACTTGCTGGTCTTCATCTGCACACACTTAATTCATTTCAAAACACTCTCCCTTGTTACAACAAAGGGAACCCCTGTCCCTTCCCTGTCCCGTCACCCTATAAGCTAATGTCTCCAGCCTGCAACCTCCTGGCTAGTGCTTTCTTCTTTATGACATTTAACTACTTGTGTTATGTGATCAACCTTTGAGCTTACAAATGTCTTGCCCCTGGGAAAATGTCAGGGTTAACTATACGGGGGCAGATAATGCAGGGAAATCTTAGGGTAGAGAAATGGTTGTTTACAGAGGCAGGAGGCAGGCCAGGAGCTCTGAGAAAGGCTGAGGGGAAAGTTTGCAGCAGGTTAAGACCCCAGTCTCATTAAGATCAATGGAACTTAACTCCTAACTGAATTGGAGCAGGGACCTTCAACTGCAGGGTCTCTGCACACAAAGGAACAATAGTGGAGCTGGATAAGGGGTTTGATACCTGTGAGATCAGTGAGTCAGAAGTACTCTATGAATTCACACTACCGCAGACTCTCATCAGTGAGCACTGACAGACTGGAGGGCTGTCACACAAGCCACACATAACGGTCCTTTAGAAACAACTGACTTCAGGCTTTGCTAACCACAGTTAGCGGGACGCTTCACAGTGCTTTCTCCGAGCCACGGGGACAACCGGCTTACATCTCATCTCCGTTCCTTTCCAGTGAGGAAGAGGAGGCTCGCGGACTTGACTGGGCCCATCATTCCCAAGTGCCGGAGTGGAGTCTAGTGCATGGCGGTGACGACCATGCCTTTGAACTGGACATGTTCTACTGATAATCTGTGCTCTGCAGTGGAAACCGGAAGGCAAAATGCCGGCACAAAACCCTTTTGTGGTTCAGTTCTTTATGCACTAAGGTTTTAGGTTAACTAGTGGTTATAGTTCGAAAATTTTATAAACTATGGTTAATGTGAAGTTTTTCTTTAGTCACAGTTCAGTCTGGTTATTATTTAAAAACTAAGAAGCCCCTGAACCAGCAGATCTTACTGAAGATGACATTATAGCAGCAGTGACTTAACCCCAAGAGCCCAGTTTCAGTGGTCTTGCTGTGGTGTTTCCAGTGTATTTAAAATGCGTAACACATGAACAAACATAACACACTTGAGTAACACAAGAATAATACACTCTTCTGTGTGGTTTAGAATCATTATAAAATACTTTATTACAAATTTGATCTTAGTTATTATAGCAAAGAGAACAGGTTCTTTATTAACTCTCCTTTAAAATGTAAGAACCTCAAGATTAAAGTTGCCAAATTGATTCTGGGATCAAGATCACAATTTCTCCTCTCAAGAAAGACAGAAAGACTAAAGCCACAGAGCTATGCCAGGAATAAAAAAAACATGAGATTTCTTTTTGCTGGATACAAGGAAATGACAGAAAAGCTGGTGATGAAATTCTAAGTTTCAAAAATTATCCTTTCTTTACCAATCCCAGGCAACAAACAGCAACTTGAGTGTTCTGTATGATATCTGGGATTTACTTACAATTTGAAACCGGAGTCAAAATTTTTTCCTTATCGAATGCCAACCTTGTGATGGATGGGAAAACCTATGGCCAAATGCTTTAAAACACCTTTCTATACTGCGCATGGGCTAATGGCTTACGTGAGGTCAGACATCAGAGGGATACATTTCTAGCCGCTGTGGCTATGCTGACAGACTTTACCTACCTGTGGCAGCACTTATTAGACGAGTCACTGCTAATCTCATGCCCATAAAAATTAAGCTTCTGAAGGCCAATGGTGAAGACCCAGATATTAAAGAGTTAGGAACCCTGGCAAAACCATCCCAAGATTATTTTGAAAATGTAAGTTTGGTATTCCTGCCACATCTCTTTCTAATATCTGCACTTCTGGGGATCCAGCAAAAAAGTGATGCCACAATGCCCTTGTGCCTTTTACCATACCACAGTGCCAGTTCAGCTAGCATCCCTGCTGCCTGCGGGGTGAGACTGGACACATCTTAGGATAAAGGCGAGGCTGCAGAGCACTGAGCAGAGAGGCTTTTCGTGAAAAGGGCAAGGCCGGCGCACTGAATTGCAGTGATGTGCACAGTGCGGGCAAACCTGAGGTGGAGCCAGGGCCTCACCGCTACGGAAGAGTGTCACTGCGGCTGCAGGTGGGCCCGGGAGTGGCGCTGCGCTGCAGGGACAGCCGTCCCGACCGGCTTCTCCTTGACACACAATTGCAGCTGTATTCTGCATCACTGGAAACCGCAACATAACATTAAATCTGTTGGTATGTGAATGGCTGCGTATGTGTCTCTTGGGACCTGCGTGACAGGGACACGCACTGGACAAGGCTGAGAAACCACGGCAGTGCTGTGGCCCTCACTCCGAATGTGCCTTGTGTCCCAAGGCGCTGATATAAAAACTGCCCAAATGTCAGTGCCATCGAGCTCATCTGAATCTCTCCAGGAAAATACCTAAAAGCCAAGAGTGGTGGGCGTTGGGGGAAGCAGACACTATTAGGGGAAAATCTCTGTTCGAAACCAAATCAATAAAAAATGAAGGCGGGCCACAGTGCTAAGGCCATCAGATGAGCAATTGGTCTAGACCAGAGATGGCAATTTTTTCTATAAAGGACCAGATAGTAAATATAGGTTTTGCAGGCCATAATCTTTCTGTTGTAAATACTTAATTCTGCTATAAATCATATGTAAACAAATGGGTGTGGCTATTCCAATAAAACTTTATTTACAAAAGCAGATGGGCCAAATGCCGTAGTCTGCAGATCCCAGTCGAGTGCTCTCGGGCTAACAGAGACGAGGCGAGGGCAGGGGTGGACAGCAGGTGACCTAAAGGGACTGGTTCCAAGGGGTCCACTTCCAGGGCCACAGCTTTCACACTTTTGCCATCAGGACAGTCAGGTTTGGTGGCAAGAAAAATGACTACTACCAGCCCTGCCGCATGGCACAGAAAGGACATAGCCTATCCCTCAGCTGCTTGGGGACCCCACAGAGCTCACCCTTTTCTATGCTGTCGAATTTTCTGAGTCAGAATCTCTCAGGTAAGCGGTCAGCACCAACTCCCACTTCCCTGCTCTAGTGAAGTACAGGTGGCCAATATGGTGACCAGTCTGACATGCTGGCACTGGCCGGCACCAAAGTCCCCCATTTCTCTGTTGTTGCAGCCTGATGTCCTCCAGTACAGGGTACCTCAAACTGGGCTTGGCGCAGGCTTCGGGGAATGCCGACGGCGCCGCTCACACGGGCACGGCCCGTCCTCACCACCGTTGGGTCCCGGTTCTGGGCTCACGGGGAGTTGCGCCTGGGGCGGGAGGTCGCTGGGTACGCGCGGCCGGCGGGCTGTGCACTCACATTCCTCCTTAAAGCTGTTCTGGGCAGGGCTCGACGCAGGCCTGCTCCCTTTGTCTTGGCAGGTGACACAACAGGCTGTGAAGCCTTGTCCTTGGCAGGTGGGACAGGTCAGGACAAGCTGGCGGCACTGGGGAGTGGAGCAGAGTCTATACTGGTCCCAGGGGGCTCCACAGTATGAACACGCTGAGGAGGAAGAACAGTCTTCATTAGGAACACACACACTTGTGCACACACACACAGGCACTCCTCAAAGTTCTAAATATGACTCTTAGCTCATCAGAATCGAATATATCCTGTTGCGTCTGGGGAATGCTTCTAAATAGTAAGTCTCCTATTGTCTACTGAAAAAGGCTCCCTATCCCCCCCTTTTAGGGGTGGGAGAGGCTACTTCTGGGAATGGTCTTCCTGATTCTAGCATTCACTGACCCATTTTTTCTTTTCCCATTCAGAAATCAGGTAGTAACTCTTCTCTCGTTCATTAACTGTTCAAAGCTAGGCAACCGCCCCTAGGTGGTTGTTCAATTTCCCTTTAGATCGTTCCCTTTTTCACCAGGAAACAACATATCTGAATGCAGATGGTCCCACATCTACATTCAACTTCTGCAGCCCAGGCCCCACTTCCCCAGGCCTGATTCTCCTGCTGTTACTGGCAGACATTTTCAATGGGATTCCTAAAACTTGAATTACTGACTTTCTCAGCAGGTTTTTCCCTGCTGACTTCTGTTACCACTATTAACATTATTCTTCTTCAAGTCTTTTTACCTGGTTTGTCTAAGCTACCTTTGGGCCTTCCGCTCCCCTTTATACTACATCCAGCTCCAAAACAGATGTGAAGTAGCTTTCAATAAGACACACAAATACAAGACAATCCAGCTTAATTAAAAGATCAAGAAGGGGAGAGGACAACCAAACTCAGATCTTATTTATTACCTGAGTGGTAAGGCAATCTAGTCTCTGACCCCCACTCTAGAGAACTGCAACAGCCACTAGGGCTGTCTGCCTGTGGCCTTTCCTACCTAAGACTATGGCATCCAGGGGTAAGAGCCATTTTTCTAAAGGATCATTTCCATCCCTCTTCACTGACGGCCTTCATCTGGAACCACTTGTTAGTGTGGACTCAGAACTAGCTAAACCACACCCTTCCTGGGGCCACCCCTGCCTCTGGCCTTAACCCCAGGCCCAGCTCCCACTGTGGAACTGAAAAGTGCGCCCACCACTGAAAAGTGCACGTGTGTACACAGACCATCTACACTAGGGGTTCTTTTATTTTGCACCATGGATTGACTTAGCAGTCTACTGAAGGCTATGAACTCTTAGAAAAATATTTTTTAAATGCATAAAGTAAACTACATAGGATTACAACGGAATCCAATTATATAGAAATACAAAATATTAACATTTTTTAAAATCTGAAATATAGTAAGATACTAACACATTAAATAATAAGACTTAGTGGTGAGCCTAATAGCTATTTCCACTTGAAGTAACAATGAACACAGACGCTATTTTGAGATACAGGCAGCAACTGTAATCTATGAAAATATGACTTCTATTGACAAAGTCACAGGTACATCTCATACTACTGATTTGTTGCTTACACTCATAATTGACGGAAGTGTTACATTTAGTGAGGGGTTATGGAAATAAAGATAAAACTATGACAATTATTTTCCCACCTAAATTCATAGACCCCCTGAATGCTATCTATTGACCCCAGGTGGAGACACCTGATTTAGCCTTTCACGTCAGCTCTCAGCAGGAAGGCGGAGCAAGGTGCATCATCCCCGTCTTGAGGACTCAACTAGGAAATGGTGAAGCCAGGGTCCAGATGGTGAGGCCCGTCTCCAACTCTGCGGGCAGCGATGGTGCTATGCGTTCTTTTTCCCTGTTTTATTTTCGAGTACTGGACGAGTAATAGTACTGGCCGGCCTTCCAGAATAGCCAGCACAGAAGGTGTGCCTGATCGCGAGTTTAGGCTCTGGGCCTGCGCTGACCTACCTGACACTACGTCACTGTTGTAGGACAAGGCGTAACGCTCATCGAAAACAAACAACTTCCCTTTGTAAAAACCATCAGGAAATTCTTCCAGGTACTTGTGGATGCCACCCTTGAGCTGGAACACTTCCTTGCACACTCCCTATGTATGGGAAACAACAGGAGGCTGTAGGAGACAAGCAGAGACCAGCAAGGAGTTCCACGGAGGAGCGGCGCGTGGTGAGAACCCCCGAGGTGTGGCTCCTGGCTCCCGCGGCAGGACCAAGAAACTGCTGACCAAGGGGTCAAGGAACCAACTGGCCAGATCTTGCCTACGGGGCACGGGGGATGGGCGATGACAGCAGTCAGGGCCTTCGCTCTCTAGATCCTGCGAAGCTTGACTATTTTTGCTGTCCCCTAAATATAGGAAGACACCTGTCGGGACTTGTAATGATACTGAATTTGCTCTTCTCAGGATCAAGCAAAAGTATTAGGCAAAGGGAGGTGTTAACTAATTTTTCCTGTCTGTACCTGATGAGTCTTTAAGACTGTTCAGTGTTTTTCACACATTAAGATTTAAGAACTTCAGATTGTGTCTTTGTAAACTCTAAGCTGACACCATACAAGGGGAAAATAAACCCCTGGCTGGCTGGAAGTGGGGGAATCAGTGGAGGAGGGGGGAGCCCCACACGTGCTGCGGGTGGTACCTTCTTCACCACCAGGCCTGTAGTGCCCCAAAGAGGGTGACTCACCTTGGCTTTGAGGTAGGCTGAACCCCGCTCACAACGGATGCCCCCCGTGCAATACATCAGTACCCTCTTCTCTCGGAAGAGTTCTAGATTTTTGTCAACGTAGCTAGGGAAGTAACTGAATTTCCTGATGTCTGGGGCTAAGCAGCCTTGGAAGTGTCCCTACAAAGTGAGAGCAGAAGGAAAATGGTCAGAAAAGTATACCTGCTGTGCCTTTTTTGTGTCAAACACCCCCTTCAACACCCCCACCACGGCAATGAAACACCTGCTAGTCGCTGTTCTCATCCCACACTCTGACCTTTCAACTTCAAGACCTGGAACTTAGAGACAAGGCTGGTGGGCTGTGGGTCCCCTGTCCAGTCTTCAGGGGAACTGGAGAGGCTGCCCAAAGCAAACTTTACAAGACCCTTGACACAAGTCAAGGGCAGGCATATAGGAACCAGAATGCACATCACGTGCCAAGATGTCTTTAATTCATCTTTTCTTGGACCTTCTCACCAGATCCCGAGTTCAAAGGCTTGGGTTTCCTCTGCAGCCGCTGGCAGTGCGGGGAGAGCCATGCAACCTGCCCACAGCTGGGGGGACAGCCAGAGTGTCCTCTTCAGGAATACGTCTTACTGTGGGGGGGTCAATTCTGGTTCTTACTATTTTGCTTTCATAGAAGTTTCTGCAGTCCAGTAGGATGGTATCATTTTGTTCTTGATTTGCCTGAGACAAAAACTTTTCTACTTCTTTATGAAATTCACCTGGAGATAAATGGATTCCTAAAACCAAACCAAAAAATTAGTTAAAACAAAACAAGAACAGGGGGAGGTGGAGACAAATGTATTTGAAAAAAATAAATTAATTAAAAAAAAAACAAAACAAGAACAAAGAAACAAAACCCAGTCATAATTGGGTCAGGCCAATGACTTAAATGTTGCTTTGTTTCTCTTCACCTAAACTTTTTTTTTTTCCCAAATAACAATTATGTCTCAAAATAGCACTATCTGATGATCATTGATGAAATAATTTAATAATTCCAGGTGTCCTCACTGTCCTTCCTCCTAAGATAAGCACTATGGAGACCTGACAGTTTATTTATTTTTACAAGATTTTATTTATTTGTTTTTAGAGAGGGGAAGGGAGAGAGAAAGAGAAACATCATGTACAAGGAATACATCGATCGGTTGCCTCTCGCATGCACCAAACCAGATACCAGTAAACTTTAAATTATTAAATTAGTGGGTATTTTAATCACTGACTAAATATTTGATAATAGCAAAGAGTAACTGTTAAATATATTTTAGATGTGAAGATGATTTTATAGTCCTTTTCGAAATCTTTACCTTTAGAGACAGCTACTAAAACATTTATGAACGGAATGACATGACCCTGGGGTTGCCTCCCGAACCACCCCAAGGGGTGGAAGCGCGTATATGCGGATGAAAGTGCCCATGAACGTGTAATCGCTGAAGGTGTGTGACAGGCACATGAGAGTTCACTGTACTAATTTCTCCTCTTTTAATGCCTGCAAATTTTCATAGTAAAAGGTAAAACAAAAACAAAAAAGGAAAAACCAAATTTCTTTCAACCATCTATGGTAACCATGAAAAAGGGGAAAGAGAACATTCTAGAGCACTTGCAAACAAACTGCTTTGGTGTTAAAAGCAACTTGCTTCCTATAGCAATAAGCCAATGTGTTTTACTCAGTTGATGAACTATTTACCAATTACATTCTTCTCAAATTGCTATCTTTGAAAAGAGAAAACAACTTCTTGCCAAACGGTCATCAAGGAGAATAACTCAGCCCTGGCCAGTGTGGCTCAGTTGGTTAGAGTGTTATCCAGTAAACTGAATGGTCACAGGTTCGATTCCTGGTCAGGGCACATGCCAGGGCTGGGGTCTGGGTGCATATGAGAGGTAACTAATGTTTCTCTCTCACAGCAATGTCTCTCTCCCTCTCTCTCTTCCTCCCTCCCTTCCCCTCTCTAAAATCAGTAAGCATATCCTCGGCTGCAGATTAAAAAATAATAATAATAAATAGAAAGAATAAGGACATTCGGAGGGGTGAGCCATCAGTTACCATAGCACCTAACAGAAGACCCATTTAAGCATGAATAATCCAAGTATTTAGGCGCCCACAGCTATTTTAATGAAAGGATTCATCACAACTCTAGCTGATCTGTATCTAACTTTCACATTTGTCTCTATACTGCTTTATTCTTTTGAAGAAAAGTAAAGTTTTTCTTCTAAAAGCAAGCATACCAGGCTTCTTGTAGGAGATCTTATTGGGACTGATCCCCATAGGCACAATTTCTTCAAATACACCAACACGCAATTCTGGGAAACAGCAAGCTCCTCCTTTGCTGGTCTAGCCAATGAGAAACAAAGCAGAATACAGTCTTTCCATCTCCAGGTGTAAGACATGTAATAATGTTGAATTATCTGGAACATTCTAGCCTGTAATTCCCTTCTTCCATTAAAACAGGTTTCCTGATTTGAGACTTCTTAATACTCCTAATATATAGTTATTATATGTAATATATATATCATATATAATAATATGATAACTACTACCATATTATTATAAAACAGACTTAATTCTATTTGGTACTTATTTACTGCATATCTACCATGAACACTGGTACATTACAATACAGAAACATTACATTGAAAAGGTGTTTCTATAGCAGTAAGCATTTAAAATCGAAATACCCCCGAGCAACTTCAACATGTAAGATTATATCCCAGCTTCTGCTCTGGAGCAATGGCCTCTCTCTATCCATCACCACCAGCACTAACACCAGCAAGGTTATTTCCCAGCACCTTTACCACCTACTATGATAGAGCAGAAAGTCCCACACACACAGCAGTTCAGCTGTAAGAGTAACCTTGCTCCCCTGGGGTGTGAAGTGCTGATCCGACCATTCCAGGTTTACAGAAATAGCCAGGCAATCTCCCAAGTGACCAAACGCCTTTAAGTTTTAGGGTTTAGATTGTGTAAAGCGTACCATCCTTACCCTTTAAAAAGGGAGACTAAGGTCCAGAGAGGGCACTAAGTGGATCAGGGTCATACGGTGACTTACGGAGAACCTGGAGGAAGCACGTCCTCCCCATGCCCTGCCCGCTAGCCTTGTCCAGGGGGAGGGTGTCTAGCTGGCACTGCTTATTTCTCTACACTGCCCTCCCCTTCATAGCTACAACAGAAGAGGCACCGTGGCAGAAGCAAATGGCTCAACAGCCATTTTCTTTTCAATTTCTCTTACCTTAAAATCGTCCTTACACAGAAAACCCTTAAACAATGGGCAGGAAAGCATGGCTTCCACGTAGAGCCTGGTGGCCAGTTTGCTTCCACCAACTGTCCCGTTGATTCCTTCTGTAGCAATTCGCACCTGGACACACAGTGTGAGAAAGGGAATGCAGTGTGTTCTTAGCTTAGTTTAAATCTTCCCAGGGCAGAACAGGCTCCGGTGTGTCAATGAGCTGAACAGGAAAAGCAGAGACACTGCTGTGGACACCAAAGTGTTACCACACAATGATATTTGTAGTTTGCTGAAGTGGCACCCCCAGAGTTCAGGTGAGGCGCTCAGATAATGTGTGCTGAGCAAGAGCATGAAATGATTGAGGCTACTGGAAAGTCCCATTTGCTATAGAGCTCCAGTTGTCCGATGGCCAAAGAACGGAATTTTGCATTCGATCCAGGCCAGCAGATCTAGAAGCAAGATTTAGCTTTGCCACGTACTTGCCAATTGCCCTGAGAAAATTAATTTACTTCTCTGAACCTCTGATTCTTCATCTTGATGAAACAGGGATGGAAAAGATCCAGCAATGAAAACCACTGCTGGACGGACATTACCCAAGCCCTAGAGCACAGGGCACACCGGAGGGGAAGGCCCAACACGCAAACCAAACCGCTGGAACACAAGGTTGCAGGAGGAATGTGCGTCTGTTTTGTTCACTGTTGCACAACCAGTGCCTAGAACAGTACCGGCCTCACAGCAGCCATTCAATATCTATCTTTGAACAAATGAATGTGCATCCTGGCTTCTCAAACCCCATACTCTCTTTCCAATGCTTCCCTGGTTAGGGGACTTCCGAGCCTGGATTAAGGCCCCTGCTTTAGGAGGCAATGACCTGAGACCCTGCAAAGTTTGTTTTGGTACTATAAGGTCCTTGGATGAGTTTAAAGATGGACCATCTTTGGAGGGAGCTAAGCTTTCTAGACAAAAGTGCTAGAAAGTGCAACACATATCATGTATTCTCTGGAAAGGGAGGTAATTTAAGGTCCTATTTTGTTACCTATATCACAATGATATACTTCCCATTACAGTAGGACTTGAAAAATTTATATCGCTTCCCTTTTGCAGGGCTCAGAGAAAATACTTCATTTGCTGCCCCACTTGATTCCAGTCTTTTAGGGCATGGATATAAATAAATCCATTTCACAAGCCAGTGCCAGCTCACTAGTACTGGCTATCAGAGTTCCACGATGAGCATTCTGGATCCCATCCAGGCTTCTTGAGAAAGAGCACTGAAGTCTAATGCAGCCTATTCTCGGCATGGGAGAAGAGAGGAGGAAGTATACGTCGTCTCTGCTGTACAGACCACGATATTTGTTTTCCATATATATATATATGGAAAACAGAGCTGAGCCAGTATAAGGGTCCGGAAATCTACCCTAAAACTGTTTCTGGCTGTGCAGATGTGATATAGAGGTACATACTTCTATGTTACTGTCTTTTGGGTAGGCTAATAGATTCTTTCCTATGTTATTTTAATATCAAAACCAAAATAAAAACAAGCACATCCACTCCCTCTATAGCTGAGGCAGAGCAATCTCTAAATTCATATGCTAGACTTTCAATCTCTAGGATTCTTCAGCAGAAATCTCAAAGCAGCTTGTTGGTGAGGAAGGCCTCAAACCTCAGAGACAAAGAGCAGTAAGTTGGCATTTCCTGAGCACCTACTGTGAGACAGGAGCTTTATACTACAGTCCTGAAAGGTAGACATCATAATCCCCATTCAACAGAAAAGGAAACAGAAGCTCAGAGAAGTCAGGTAACTTGCCCAAGGGCACAAGTTGGTATGTGTAGATATGGGTTTCAAAACTAGGTCTTACTGGCTCTAAATCTTGTAATTTTTCCTTTCCAAGGCCTCTAGTGCACTCCCTTAAGTATCTTTAGGCAATAAGGAATGTATAGCAATAGGGACAAGAAGCTTCCTTCCATAATTGTAGAACTTTTAAGTTCTCCTCTTTCTCTAGCTAAATACGAATATTCTGACAAGTCTCCTACCAGCAGGAAATGATCTCAGTAAACTGAACATGTATCATTGAAACCAAAGAATTTAGACCTAAGACCCAGGCAGGTGCTGCCACCCTGTGGTTTGAGACACTCACTGCTAGTTCACCATGGGCTGGACCAAAAATAAAAATTGGCCCCTAAACCAAGGAAAGAAATTGGTTTCCTATTTTGTAAATTCAGATTGACTGTGAGAATACCCATCTTTTAAGATGATCTCTAAATAGAGATGGTGATAGATGTATTTATTCCACACATGTTTACCAAGTTTTTTACTGCACCAGGAATTGTGCTAAGAATTAGGGTTGAGTCATTTTTTGTGCAAAGCCTAAAATATTTACTATTTGGGTCTTTAAGAAAAAGTTTACTGACTCCTGGTATATGCCATTAAATAAGTTTATAAAATACCATGTTAATAGCTATTTAGTATTCTATTTCAATGCCTAGCACAAGTTCGCTAATTTCTTCAAACTCAACAGTGAGTCCTTTTGTACTGGGTACAACCTCTGCAATCCCAGTTGAAGGCCAGAGGAGCCCAGTGAAGGACGGGGTGTGGAAAAAGGTGTTACCTTGCCTGTGAGGTGCAGGCGCTGACACAGAGCTGTCTGCCAGGCGCAGATCCAGTGGGGATCCTCCAGGTCATGGTAGCAGTAATAAAGTAGCACCTCTCCTTCCTCACTGCCCTGGCCACTGTACAGAGAAAACCACAGGGAGACAGCATTTGAGTCAGTGGCATACGGAAGCCACAATTCATAAAGTATACCCAGGCAGCGCCAGAGATGGTCTAGATGGAGCAATTCATGCCACCTTTGCACCCACTATTGTTCTCCTGAAAGGAGAAGCAATTCCTGTCTGCATTTGCTCTAAGGAGGCACTTAAGAGCTGAGTAAGCTGAGGCCAATTCCTTCCAGGTGAGACAGCTACAAGTCACAGTCAGGGCTTGAACACCAGATTTCTGACACTAGAGCACAAACCCTTTTTATTGCACTGTGCCGTGGGATCTGGGCAGGTCTCTTGTCATCTCTGAGCCCTGATTCCCTCATCTGTAAAACTGCAGAACTGAAATGAGCAGGTTTTCCCAAAAGTGTGCTCCGAAGCTGTTCTATGACATCACATTTGAGAAATCTTGTACACAGTGTTTCCCTCTTTGAGCCACAGTAAAAGCCCCCTGTCTGTTGAAGGCTCTGTAAGGTGCTTCAATTAAAAACATTATAAACTAGTGCTTCCCAAACTTGTCTTTAGTACCTCTTTTCAATACTTGATAGCATCCTCCACAATAATGTAGCACAGACGTTATTTTAGTGAATGCTACAGTAGATGATAATTAAGGTCCCATCCGGCTCTGGAATCATGTTTAAGGACCTAGCTTCCTGCAAAGCTGCCTTTTCTATTTTAGAGCCTACCTGCTTTCCTTTCTCTAAACCTCTGTATTAAATTATCTGAACCATACAATTTAACTGATAATTATATAGCCCATCTCAAGTTATCTGCTAATTGTTTCATACCCTTTTCTTTGTTTCTTTAGGTAGAAAATGAACTCCTTGAAGTGCAAGGCCACACAGAAACGAAAAGGCCACATTCACTTTTTAGTTCACAATTGCTCTTACCATCATTTTATAGAATACCGTGAGGCTGGCAGGGCAGACATTATAATTCCAATTTTAGAAGTGAGGAAATGAAGGCACAAAAAATTTTACTGACCAGCTCCAGTTGGACTCCAGGTTCAATTTTCTTTCTCCTTTTCTTTCTGATAAACAGGGTAAATTTGACACTAAATACTAGTGATTAAAGTATATCAAATTTGGACATTTTCTATTCACCAAGTAGTTCAGGAATTGCTTGATATCAGAAATCTGCCCTCTAGAATTCTGTAGTATGATTTGGTAAAAGTTTTTCGAAGGCAGAGTCTAAACCTCTAATCTTATGCCTCAGTTCTAAAGTTAACCACCTTTCTAAAACATATTCAGCTCAGAAAACCACATTTTTTAAGGTCTGACATTATTCAGGGGAGAGGGATCATTAACACTTCTGCGCCTTCTGATTTCTCTTTGAAAATAATACTTTTTATTCTTTACTTCTCCCTAAAAATATGATACAGAATGGCTTTCAAGAAACCTGGCAACACTACCAGCTATATGGGTGTATGCTACCGCATAGGCTATGAACTTCCATTACACATAGCACACGTTTATCGGCCTAGCATAGACCCATAAAGAAATTCTGTGCCTTTGGGATCTTGCCATTTTAGTGGATGGGTAGTGATACCTCACTGTGGTTCAAAAAACATTTTTAAAATTAAACCAAAAGTAGGGAATCAAAGCCTTACCTTATCAGCTCATCAGGGCTAAAGCAACTAGTATCCGGGAGCCAAGCAGATACTTCACGGTTTCGGGTAAGGTGCTCCCTTGGAGGGTTCCTTCTGTCTGCAGACTTAAGCTCCTTTGAGGTGCTCAATGTCACAGCCAGCTGCTTTAAAATAGAAGCAGTCTGGTGGCGAATCTCATCAACATGTTGTATTGCCACATGTCTGTGGATGCTGGTCTGGTCCGTGAACAGTTGCTGACAGCATTTCCACCACTTTTCTTCACATTTATAAGAAGGTGCTATAACTTCTTTGGTTTTGACAAAAAGGGCAAATGCCTGCAATTACATTTCAAATTGCCATGGTTAAATAACCTTAGGTTTAAGACCAACGGAAGTCTCAGTAAAATTCCTTCTATTATCTTTCCACAGGGGTTTCCAATTTTATGTCCTACTATTCAACAGACGAACTCCCTGAGAGAGTGACAGTTTTATAAGTAAGTCATATGCCAGCTGGACGAGAAGTCTTAGGTAGCGGCTGCCCTGCTGCCTGTTTGTTCTCCTTATGACTAGGTCTCCTGGGTTCCTGGGACTCCTCCCATAACCCTCGGTGCGGAAGGAACCCAGCCCGTCTACCTCGGATCTGCCCTCAGGTGTTCCACACACGTCCCAGAGCCGCACCCTGCCTGTGATCCTCCTTTGCCTGAAGCACTCCCTGAAACACAACCTTGATGAGCTACTTTTAGCTCTATCCATATTAACTATACATGCATGATCCTGAAACTTCCACAGCAATTTTACCTTTTTCTTTGCAAACGAGTACTTCTTCTTTGTATTGACATCTAGCTCTGCTTTGAGATTGCTACTGGGGTTGGTAGGACTTGTGTCTTTCAAATCCAAGTCTGAAAATCTCAAAACACAAGCCTCCAGGTCATCTCCTTGGTCTGAGGAAGTAGAAGAAGGCATCTGGTTTGGTTGCAGCAGTGGAGTGGATTCCTTTCAGTTATCTACCTCCTAGAAAGTGAGCAAGAGAGGGACAATAATGTCCAAGTTTTTGGTTACTTGCAGTACACTTGAAGCTAATTAATCATACAAATGAGCATGAGCCCAGCAGCCCAAGCTATCCATTCATCCACTCTTTCATTCAATAAATAAATATTTAGCAGGCACTATTCTAGATACTGGGGATATAGAATTAAGTGAAATAAGAGAAAAAAATCTGTCTTAGAGTTTACATTCCAATGGTGAGAGAATGTAAGCAAATAATTTGATTTCTTTTTTTAAGTCAGTCAAATGGGTCCTGGCCGTGTTGCTTAGTTGGAGTGTTGTCCTGTACACCAAAAAGGTACAGGTTCGATTCCCGGTCAGGGCACATACCTGGGTTGTAGATCTGGTCCCCAGTTGAGGCACATATGAGAGACAACTAGTTGATGTTTCTCTCTCACATGGATGTTTCTCTCTCTCTCTAAAATCAATAAAAACATATCCTTAGGTGAAGATTTTAAAAAGTCGGATGGTAAAAGAGGCTATGAAGGCAAATAAGCAAGATAAGAAGCAGAGTGATGCAGGGGATCTTTAAAACACAGAGGATAGGTAAAGTCTGAGGCAGCAGCATTTGAGCAAAAGACTGAATTAGGGGGCAAACATGCAAACATTGAAGTTACACAATACCAACAAAACACCGGGCACAATCAGGCTGTGTGCTACTAACTTCAGTTATTAACAGTTTGTTCTTTTTCGTTCCCTAAATTTTTGAGCTGTACAAGTTCCCCTGTCTTAGGAGAAATGGCTACCAAGAGAGTCCCATTTAATGAGTCAGAAGAAATACATAAATGGCTACTGTGGCCAAGTCTTGTCAAAATGGACACAATACAACCAACATACTACATTCTTCCCTTTACAAAGCCTACGTTACAGGTGAAAAAGAGGCAACATGAAACATGTAACATCGGGAAAGGTATTTGCTTTGGATCATGGTGTAGTTGAGTACAAGTAGGTGACCTCCCCTCAGTCTAAATCCCTTTCAGTTCTTGCTTTAATTTAAACATTCTATGTGGAAACTGCTATGTGCTTGGCACACACAATAGTGCTGCGGATGCAGGTCTTAATGAAACAGTTAAGGTCCCTGATCTTTTGAAGCTTATATTCTAGTAAGAGAAAGGAGAGACTAAATAAGTTAACAAACTTAAAAACATGAAAATATCAGGGATAAAAGCTGATGCTTCTCAAGTTCCTTTGCTGGGGATCCTCCTTACCGTCTGTCCCAACCTTTGAATGCTGAATCACTTATCTATATACTCTCTAAGTGATCTGATCTCATCTGGTCTCAAGGACTTAAATAAATTTCCTCAGAATAACTGTGCAGAGGCGGGATAATACAGGTGAAACTAGATTGGCCATGAGTTGGGAATTGCTGAAGCTCGTTGATAAAGTACATGGGGATTCATTACATAATTATCTCAACTTGTGTAAATATTTGAAACTTCCATGAAAAAAAGGACAAGCAATCATCAATAAAGGGAAATTTATGTTTAGAATACTATACACTAATTGACTCCAAATCTATACCTCCAAGCCGGGCCTCCCTCTTGAACTCCAAATTCACATATCTAACTGTCTACTTAAAAGCTTCAGCTGGAAAGCTAATGGGCAGTTCAAACACAACTGTTTGAAACCAAACTCTTGCTCCTTCCCAGTTTCCCTTACCTCCATAAATGACATTTCTATTCTTCCTGTTATTCCGATAAAAAAAAAAAACAACTTTGGGCTTCTTCTTGACTTGTTCTTTCATACTATCACCCAGTCCCTCAGAAAATCCTATCAACTTTGTTTTTGAAATACAGTTAGATCAGATCACTTCGCACCACCTGCACTACTAACCCCTTTCAAGCCACCATCATTTTTTTTGTCTGAATTATTGCAATAGACTAAGACTAACTGCCCTCCTCATGTGGGAGCCAGAGAGGTAACTATTAAAAAATAAGTCAGGTCAGCCTCCAAAGTCTTCTAAACTTACTCAGATGAAGTCCAAAGTCCTAACAAAGCCCCTCCCACCACCTCTCTAATGTCCTCTTCTGCCATTGTCCCTTTGCTCACTACCTCGGATTGCACTATGTTTGCCCATTCCTGACTTGGCCATCGGTACCAAGAAAGCAGGGATTTTCCTTTTGTTCACCTCTGCAGTCTCAGCATCTAGAACAATGCCTAGCACAGAGGAGGTGCTAAATGTTAATAAATACAATATCTGTTGAATGAAATAAAACAGTGATTGGGCAGCCAGAGGAGGCTTCACTAAGGACCTGATGTTTGAGCTGAAACCTAAATGACAAGAAGCCATCCATGCATGTTTAGCAGCAGAGATCTACAGGCAAAGGAAATAGTGAGCATCAATCCTGAAGTGAAACACGCCTGGCTTACTGAAGGTGCAGGAGGGAGGAGTGGAGGGAGTAGTGATGACAAAGAACCCGTACCTGCCTAAGGGTATGCAGTTTGCAATGGCAAGTCTTTGCAGAGTTGTAAACAAAGGAGTGACGTGGTCTGATTCCTCATTTGTTTTCAAAACGGAGCCGACAGGCTTTACGTACTCTTTGTTATGTAGGAAGTGAAGGAAAAGGAGGACCAAAGACCGATCCATACCTACACTTTTGGATTAAGCAATCGGATGAAAGGTGCCATTTACGGAAATGGCGCGCTGAGCCTGGCCCAATCTCTCTACTCAGCTTTCCCGAGGAGGCAAAGGCCCAGAACTAGGAGTAACATCAGCACTTACCTGCCAGTCCTAATACTTTCTTAGGTCTTTCTTCAATAAATGGTCCCCTCCTAGAAATTAACAAGGCTCACCACCTTAGAACCTCCCGGCCCCGCCTGGAGATTACGTAGGAAGGAACGCTGGAAACGTCACCTCGCTCCGGAAGTCTTCCAGGTTATTAGCGAAAGGGACGCTGGGAAAATCAGAGAGCACGTGGGGGAGGATGGTAGGTTGGGGCGGGGACTGAAGCGACCCCCTTAAACCACGGGCCTCCCGGCGTGGCTCGCACCTGTGGGCTTCAGCTGGCCGAAGAGGCGGTGCTATCTACGTGGCCCCGGAAGGACTTAGCGCGTACGGCGGGAGAGGGAAGCAGCTGAGAGGCGGAGGAAGGCGGAGAGAGCGGTTGAGTGGGGATCTGAATCCCGCGGCCTGGGGAGCTCCTAGACGCCGCTGAGCCCACCCGGCAGCCTCTCCCTGCGCTTCCGGGAGCCGCCAAGAGCGAGTGCGCCTGCGCCCAGGCCACTCCGCACGCCTCGCCGCTGTCCTCCCATCGGTCAGCGTTGCGACCGTTCCTTCCGTGCTTTCCGCCCGGCTGCTCGGCTCGGCAGCGCAGGGGCGTGCGGCATGTCGCGGCGGCGGCACAGCGATGAGAACGATGGTGAGTGCCCTGGGCCCCGCCGCCGAAGCCGCGCCCAGGTGGGCGTCGAGTTTTGGCTTCCTTGAGTCTCGAGGGAAGGGAATGGGAAGGCTTTCCCACCCGGGAGCGTTCGGAAAGCCTCGGGAGGGTCGAGGGTACCACAGCGGGAGCGTGGCCTGGTGACTTCTGTAAAGCTCCTGCTTCCCCCCGCCCCAGCTCTTTTAGTCATTGGCTGATCGGAGGCCTTGGGGGAGGGGAGGGGGGCTCTCGTCTCTAACGACTTTTCAGGATTTGGACCTTATCACCGCCGAGCAGAGGAGTACACCTGTGTCCGCGCTGTCGCTCTTAGGGACAGTGACAGGACCTCCTAGTCGTTTTGACCCCTCAAACTGCACCTGAAAGGGCTCTCAGCACACTACTAAGGGAAAGGAACAAAGCCTTGACCGAGGGATCTGAAGAAGCGCAATGTAGTTCCGTCCCCTACCGGTCGTCGTTGATTTGCCTTTTACGCTGCAAGGAAAGAGATCTCTTATCCACACCCAAGAGGTCACTAATAAGCAGATGCATGTTGTGATGTTAAATTTTGAACTGGCTATGATCGTATTTTCCTCGTGTAAAAGAGTTTTGGAAAACTAACTGGAGGGCCCTTAGAGATTTAATTCAGGGGTTGCCACCTCCACTTGGATGGTTGTGCTCGGTAGGGGATCATGGTGCATCATAAAAACCAAGAATAATTTTGCTAGTTAAAAACAGAAAAAGATGGAAAAACAAAAAGATGCTTGCATTACATAATCAGCCAAGAACAAACATCCACAAAGAAAGACTAATTCTATTAATATTTTAGTTTATTCTTTGTAAAGAATGTAGTGTAGTGGTTAATGGCCAGACTTTGAAATCAGAGGATTTAAGTTTAAAGATAGACCGTACCATTTACTGTGTGATCTTGCCCAGGTTATATCCCCTTTCTAAAACCTTAGACTGTAATATAGAGAATGATACATACATCTTACTGGTTTTGTAATGATTAAATGAAATAACACATGAGGAATGGTTTAGGATGTTGTCTATTTTATCACCTGTTAATGCTCAAGAGGTGATAAACATTGGCAGATGTCAATGATGTAGGGAAAAATGCAGAACAAACATTTTAATTGTATTTTTTCCATTAATATATTTCTCTCTTTGAATGTCGGTGTGGTTAGGGTAAAACTAAGTCACGTGTATTTAGTTTTAACAGTGAAACAACAGATTTCTTCTAGAGCATGGCTTGAAAGGGTATTTTAGTCTAGCCTTCTCATCTGATACCTAAGGGTCTAGGCAGGGGTGTCCAACCCTTTGGCATTTCTGGGCCGCATGGTAAATATATTGTAACACAGTCACAAAATAATCTCATAATGTTTAAAGTAAATTTACAATTTTGTATTGGGCCACATTCATGGACTAGAGTTTTTGTGTAATTAACATGCAGTGCCCAGATACCAGTGAGAAAGCAAGTTCAGGGTTCTCTTCACTACACAGGTATTAAGCTTTGTGCTTTTTATTTATTTTTATTTTTTTATTTAGTAGGCTTGTGTAACATATTTGGGCACAGAAAATACACTTCATATGCTTTGAATTGATTAATCAAAAGCTAATGTGCTTGAAGTCATCACTTGGTGTTTAGAGAACTTAAACCTTTTTAAATTCTTCAGTTTTTCTTTGCTTTTCTCATACTTTTCCCCATTCCTTCTTTCTTCTGGGGTAAACCTAAGGGGAGAGAGAATGTCTCCAGAGGGCAAACTGGAGAACTGGATTTGAATATGTATAAATGCAGCTTTTGCTTTGGTTATTGGGATGCTGGCATAATTTTCTTGGGAGTTAGTTTCTTTTAATATCAGCTGGCAGCTAAATCATTGTCCATTTGGGTCTAGCTACAGGAACCTCAGAATAAATACAAAGTAAAATGAAGAGTTAATTTATCAAAATTTACTATGGCAAATAATTTAGTAATGGAGGGGCAGTTTATACTGCCTCTTGGAGACTGCAACAAATCTGGAACTTTTGTGAATTGCCACAATTTAAGTAATGATTAAGTCACCCTAAACAATGATCTGAATCAAATATTTTATATACTTTAGTTAAGCATTTATTAATATTTTAAAATTAGGAATATTAGAAGCTTAAATATTGTTGAAGACTATATTATTATAGTCATAGGTTGAGCATTATAGTTATAGTTTAATAAATGGGCCTTAGCATTTCAGAAAACAACCAAGCAAAATGTGGTGTATCTTATGGTAATAAGTTCTTTGGAGAAAAATAAAATTCAGTAAAGAGGATAGAGACTGCTGTTGGGGAGGCGTTGCTGTGTTCTGTGGGTTGCTCAGGGAAGGCTCCCTGAGAATGGCAACTGCAGGAGGTAAGGGAGCAGACCAGATGGCTCTGTGGGGGGAAACAGTAGTCTGTAAGCATAGGGAACAACACATGCAAAGGCCTTAAGGCTAGACCATTGGGGTCCAGTTCAGGAACACAGCAAAGAGCCAGCGTTGCTGAAACAGAGTTTTAGTGTGAGGGGAAGAGTTGTAGGAGATAAGATCAGAGAAGTAGCAGATGATTGGCTCATAGAAGATGATTTTAAAATTGTATCTCTGTGTTGAGACTAGAGTATCCAGGATCCAGGGAGACAGTTTCACCTAGAGGTCAATTTATAGACAAGGAAAGGGAAGTCCTAAGTGGAAATGAGTGTGTTATGGATACTGGTCTAGTGCTAAATTTAACGTTTCTTAGAATCTTTTAAAGGATATTTCTGAAGCTTTTCAGTTATTAAAGCATAATAATTGTTTGATACATTGTTTTGTTCTTTTCAGAAAGTATTTAGATTGCCCATAATCAGCCAAAAACCCACAGTAGCTCCATTTAAAATATTTAGAATTAGATCTTTATCCTTTAGACTGTCACTGGTTTTTTCCTTAGCTATAGAAAAATAAAATGAAGCAGAAGTGAAAGGATGTGTTACTTTCAGGAAGAGGATAGTTTGTTTCAGAAGTGATGGTTACCTCCACTTTTTTCCCTTTTACTTTGTTTGTTACTTTCTCTTTTACCTTGTTGGTTTTTGTTTTTTACTGTGGGTCTAAAACTTCTTATAGTGTATCTATTTCTAAATGAGTGTATTAAAATGTAGGACAATATATCCATATAAAGTTAATTTTACCCTACAGAGGAAAAAATTATTTGGTGTATTAAGATCCTTTTAGATAGATTTAATAGGAACTTGTTTCTTGTTCTAGCCAACAGTGTCTGAGTGAAGTGACAATATTTACAATATTTACAATTTAATTTACACTGCAAAACTTCTACATAGTTACATTTTAATATAAAATCTGTTCTTGCTTTGGGAGCTACCATAAATATATTTTCTTGAGGGTACCGTGAAAACATTCAGCTAATTCATTCCCCAGATGTTATTTTTAATTGAGGTGTTTTATTCGACTTCCCCAGGTTCTCCTCTCAGTTCATTGTCCTGACCTTGTCCATGAGTTCAGATTGTGTCTGTAGTTCCCCCTCCCTTCATATTCTCTCCACTATGGGGCATCTCTTACTTCTTAATACTTTCTGCCCCTTTCCATTCTCCAAAACAAATTCATTTTTCAATATAGTCAAAATGGGAAGAAGAGAAATAAGAGGTGCTGTGGATGAGATATAGGACTACGTACTTGTATTCTCTAGTTTTTCTTTGGAAGTCCTACTTTCTCTCCCCATAGCGTCATTTCCCCCTTTCGAAGCTTGCAAGAGAGACTGGGAGGGTTGCTTTAAAGACTGGAATGTGATTCCAAACTGGTATGGAACAGGCAAGCTGGGCATTTAATTTAGGGAGGTTGTGGAATAAAGCATTTGGAAAGTAGATGGGCCAGAAAGAAAGGGAGCAGTGGGTAAGATATGAAACAACAAAAACTGTCCTCACTGAGCTACTTTTTCAGAATGTACATCCCGCAACCTTTCTGGAGTCTGGTTTTGAAGGACACTACTAGCATCCTGCCTTGTGAACAGAATTTTCCAACATCAGCACTGTTAACCCTTTGGACTGGGTTATTCCTTTTCGTTGGGAGTTGTCCTCTGCAATGCAATATATTTAGCAGAGTCCATGACCACTACCCGCTGGATGCCGGCAACACTCCCCAAGTTGTGAAGACTAAAATTGTCTCTGAAGAATGCCAGGTGGCCCTTATGAAGCAAAATCTCACCCAGCTGAGACCCACTGCTCTAGGAAAAGGCTGTTTTTAATGTCCTGGCTAATAACTTATATAAACATTACGTCAAATATGCAGGGGTTTGTTTGTTTGTTTGTTTGTTTCAATGAATGAATCTTGGAAATAGAACACCTTTGTGTGAAAGTTGGCCTTTCAGGTGATGGAACCTTTATAGATCCTGTGACTTAGGTTTGACATATACTTAAGAATCATTGTGACTTATCCCACAATGTTACACATGTCCACAACTTAACATAGGAAGATGTCTGCAGGAATATATCGGAGCTGTCAGGCTGCATGTATACTGTATTTTTATGTCATTTTC